TTTCTCTACCACACACCTACTCTGCCGTTCCATCCGCGCTCACCTACCCAGTTCTCCACTTCCCATAGCCTCCCTACATCAGTAGATACCCCTTCTATGCTGTTATGCGCTGTGGTGACCAGACTTCACCGGTCTACATGGGCTTAGCCCCGATATGACTTGAAACAAGAATCTCTCTCTCTCTCTCTTCACGCTCTCGTTGATGGAACGAACCAGGTGTGCTCGCTCGTACTGTTTTTGTTCACGCTCTCGCTGATAGAACAAACCAGCAATACACGCGGTTCCTCTTCTCTCACCTGAGCAGTGAGGCGTCGTCAACATCGCCTTTCATCGCGCTCCGCCACAGTCCCTCGCACTTTCCCTCCCCTGTTTGTCATCCTCATTCCTCTCTTCCTCACTTCCCTCGCTTTCCTACGCCGATAGAACCTTCTAGAGATCCTTTCCACACTATATAAACCCCTCTCAAGTCTCCCTGCAATCTTCACCACTGATGATCCGCTCCCTCACTCAGGCTCAGCAGACTTCGTGCACGCGTGATTTTCAGCGAGATGGCGGGCTCCTTGCTGCCCTCCTCCCAATTGCCTGCATCACCTTCTGACTCACTCAATATGTCGGCCATGGCCGGTACAAACACTAGACGACCCTTGAGGTGCGTCTTGGGCTTCGTCCGTTCCTCCTGAGCCTTCGCTGACACCTCCTCCTCCCGCGCTGCCTCCTTCGCCTCGAGGTCCGCAAACTCATTTCCTTCAATCACGACATGCCCCGGCGTCCACAGCAGTCTCACTTGAAGCCTTGAAGGTCCTTTCGGGTGTGTTTGAGTTCCTCAAAGGCTCAAATGCTTGCCGGATCACAAGGCGGAGGTGTTGTCCGGATGAGGGGGTTGGATCGGTGGAGTGGGTGAGTGCTGATGTGTTGCCAAGGGAGATGAGGGCAGTGAGAGGTGTGTCAGCGGTCTCCGACACAGATAGGAAGGTACAGATAGTGACAGGTCTGCCTGGCTGGTCTCTATTGCTGCCTCACCCTCGATTGCCCTTCACCTTCAACCTCAACTGTCTTGCTGGGCTGTCTCATGGCTAGACACCAATACCTTGATGTTGCCTCGTGCCCTCGTCCCCCCCTCTCTTCACTCATCTCCCTTGCCTGCAATGCCAGACTGTTGTTGATGTCATGGCCTCACCATGTTAGCAAGGCAGGTCATGGAGAATGTGCCGGCATCCAGCACAAGCTTGACATCAGTCGTGAGTGGCCTGGAGACCCTTCTGGTTTGTGCCGGGCTCTTTGTGGATCCTCTCCTGCCTGCTCCCCTTCTACAGCTCCTTACCTTACTGGGTACTATGCACACTCATCTTGTTGACAACCCCGGTCTCCTCAACTCCGCCTTTCTCTCGCCTCGCCTTGAATTTGGCATCGACTCTATCAACCGGACATGGTGAATACGAAGCGGTGGAATGGATGAGGACAGTTGTTGGTGATTGATGTAGCTCTGTAGCCTCCGAGCTCCTCCATGTCGGTCTCTCTCTCTCTCTCTCTCTCTCTCT